TACGTACGTACTACTACTCTCTCTCTCTCTCTCTCTCTCTCTCTCTCTCTCTCTCTCTCTCTCTCTCTCTCTCTCTCTCTCTCTCTCTCGCACGCGCGGCATGTCCAACACAGCATACACGTGCACACACACACACACACACACATATACACACATATACACACAGATACAAAGGCATAATCGGCGTAGGAAGAAGGGTTTGTGAATCAACGGTTCCAACGGCAACGCCGCATTGCAGATCCGCCGCGTCGGCACGCAACTGACTCCTCCTCCTCCCTCACCGCGGTTAGTACTCTAAAATCTAAACTACATTTACAGTCGATGCGTACGTATGCCTATGCGAATGTCTCTGCGACAGAGAGTAACACCGATTTACGGGACGCGCATTGAGCTAGTTGTGAGCGACGTCTCGCGCTCGCGAAGCTTCCCTTCGAACGAAACCAGCATCGAGCGAAGTCCATCACACGTGCATGGAGGATTCTCTCGATTTGACATCGATCGCAATGCACAACACAATTATATAATTAACGTATAATCTTGATGTTGAGGATAATTGTAAAGTGGCTCGGCACATTCGCGCGACACGATGTAGCTTCGCAAACGGACCGAGATGCGATACGATGTTTTAATAAATTTCTGTCGTTGTCCACGAATGGCGACAGATTCTCGAGTTGACAACTCACGCGAGCGTACGTCGACATTCGAGCAATGTCATTCGGACCGATACAAAATCGCATACGTACCTGCAAGTGGCGAATAAACCTCGCAGATGCAGAATAATTGGGAATTTACGCGTTCGGCGCGTTACCAACGTCTCGTCGGACTCGTATCTTCTCATACATTGCGGAATCTGCGAGATGAAGAGCTAGATGCTGGTAAACTCGGTCGTTGAATCAGTGCCAAAAGTTTCAGAAATCCTCGGCGGGGAAAATGTATATATCTGTGTGGACTTTAAATAAAATTGCGTCCGATATCCGTAGGATGACCAATGCTCTTTATTGAGTTGTCGCACGCTTGATTTTACGCCTCGTTCAAACTTCCAAAACGGATGTATCGCGAGAACGAACCGTTGGCACGGCAACATATGTGACATAAATCTCATGTTATTCGTTCTTATATTAATGTCTTCGTAAATGTCGGAAGACATCAGGTTTCACTCGCCGATCTCTACAAAACTTAACTCAAATAGCAGTGGAGATTTATGAATATTCTTGGCGCTTAGATCTTTGCAAACTTTGTAATCTCTTTCAGAATTAAAATTTTGAGAGTAAAGTCTACGTGAAATATATTGAAAAATTATTATTTTTCTCTATTTCAAGTTTTCTCCACATTGCTTCTTCCAGATAATCGCAATATTATATAAAAACAACATTATATAAGAAATATATACAAAAATGTATTAAGGATATATTCCCGAGTTCAACTGGCAAGCAATCAATCATAAAAAATAATAATAATATGTCGCTCACGTTGATTGACTAAATTTATTTTCTAAAACTGAGGGTGCAACAGACTTTCATTGCGAACGTATATGCTAATGAGAGTTATACTGTTCTTTTGTATGTTTCTTTTTATTGTGATCTGTGCTAATTAATAATTAATAATTTTATATAGTCAACTGACGTGAGCAACATATAATCGTTATTTTTTATGGTTGGGCTCATCGATTGGACTATATCCTTACTACATTTTTGCATTGAAGATGATTCAAATTCGAATCGAAATGTTCAGCACTTTTTATGATTCTTATTAGCCATTATTGTCCATTATTATTATATCGAGAATCTTTTTTGTGTTAATATTTAAATATATACATAATTTATTTCTGGAAACATTTTGGAGGGTGGGTAAGATTCCGAGCTACCGCTGATATATTTTAAAATCATCGATGTATGTTATCGAATGTTGTTTCATTTAATTTATAAAAGAATTGTAGAAACGTATGCGTACACAGAAAAAAAATTGTCTCATGTTGCTCATACGAATGCAAAATATATAATTTCTGATATGGTATAAATATCTGTGCGATCGATTAAAATGTTGACCAATTTCAAATATAGATCGATCACGAAAGTTTTATATATTATCACAGAAAATGAGATGTTTCAAAAATTACTCATTTTTTCTGAATTGCTGATTTTTGGAATTCTTGAGGTAATACGTTTAATACCATACGTTCCTCGAGCAAAGCTCACCCCTTTATATAGTTTATATGTTATAGAAATAGAAAGGGATAGGAGCATCGACTTATCGGTTGTATATTATTTTAATAACTTATTACAGTACTTTATTAAATGTTAAGTTACGGTTTTATCTAGACACATTTACAGTCACAGATTTGTGTGTCGCAATGTGAAGGTGTAACGCAGAAAGGTATCGCGCGTGACAGTTTTTTTTCGACGGTTTATTCACAGCGGTTCGATTTCATGTGTGTTTTGTTTTTTACATTAATTACGTTTCACAGCGTAAAAAGATGCACAATCTTGGAAATGGAAAAAATCTTTGCTGTTTCATCGAATATACGCGACAGTTCTCAGTGGAGATACGAGAACTAAAATGGAAGTAAATCTTTCACTGAGCGCGCGCGCACGCAACTCTGTGCAGCGCTATATTTATATTAACAGCAAGTGAAGTTCTGTACGGAGAGTTTGCCGCGTATCGTCGGAACGGACGCTTGTGCCGGATCACGATTGGCGGCTGAATCGGGTGAATGAACGTTTCACACGCATAAAAATTTTCGCTTACACTTCGATGTCGAAGTCTGCGAAGAATGCTAAACGGAACCGGCAGTCTTTCTCGCGCACTCATATACAATTAGACACAGTCGCAGAGCACCTTTCTACGATCCCATCCGAGCTCTATCGCTCGTTATAATTGCCAAATTATTCAGAGAGGATTTTACATTCCTGGACGAATTCTCGATCGTGTGATATGAGATCCATGGCTCGTTACTGTGGCTAATCGTAAGTTGTTGATCTTTCGGCGCACGCAATATGGCCGTAAGCACAGTGATCATACCTTAAGAGAAAAATAAGCGAAGAAAAGGGAGGAGAGAAAAAGAAAATTTTATACAAATAAAAATTATATTAATTCAAATAAGAAATGAGGAAAACGAGATGAGAAAGAAAAATCTGGAAGGGAAGAAAGAAGGGAATTACAGGGGAAGAGGCAGAGAAAGAGAACGTGTAAAATGTTTATGTCAGACGATGCAAAGAGATTCTAATAGTTAAAGATGGATTTTGAGAATGAATAGTATGACAGGTGAAGAGAAGAGAAAACAGAAGGGATAGACAGACTTTAGAGCAAGTAAGTAAATAAAAAATGCATTACATGTCATGGTTCTAACGCGATAACATTGTTGATATTAAAACTGTACACAGGATGGTTTGCTGTCCCGTGTAACTGGAAATAAACACCCCTCGCTCAAGCTCGGGTCTCTCGATAAGTCCGCGGGAGGGGAGAGGGGAGGAAGAACATTTCCGGCGCGGATTGCGAGTGGGGCCGCGCCCGGACATCATTACGGGCGGGTCATCGTTCGGATATCCTCGATCATTTCACCGTCCTTTGGCAGGTGGGAAGATTTACCATGAAGAATACGTTGAGCTCGATCAGCGATGCCAGTATGAGGAACACGGCGTACATGCATAGACAGGCGCGGCCCACTTTTGTGTCGAGCTGAAACTTGTTGGAGGCGAACGCGATGTACAGCAGCATGAGGGTTGATAGCAACGATATCGCACTGTACTCCAGTCCTCCAGAATTTATACTTATGTAATGCCTGCCAGGTTGAGTGGGCGAGAAGGATGATTTGATCAGCCAAGGTAGTCCGAGGCACAATAATATATCGAACGTGTTGGATCCTATCGAATTGCTGATACCCATCGAGCCGTGTCCTGAATAAAAAAAGAAAAAAATGGAACGGTAGAAGGTACAGAAATAAACAATAGAGAATATAAAAAGTACTGGGCGAATTACTTCTCCAAGCATTCTTATCTGCTCTATTTTTTCATTGTTATCCGCCTTTCTTAGATTTTTAATAGCAAACTTTTGAACTTCGACGCATTTTTGAAGTTACTTGACACTGTTTGCGGCCTCTTATAGAAATCGATCTAATTAAGTTTCCCCCAATGTACCTAACAAGTTTTGTTTATTTATCTCGCATTGATTTCTCGAATTTTGCATTAGTTTTCCAGATATATTCTTATTACCGCGTTATATGAAACTATTCATATTGGGACACGTATTAAGTCGATTTTATGAAAAAAACACGCTCGGGAATCTTTTTATTTATTAGCAAACATTATTGTTGTGAAATTAAGTTTAAATATATTTGTTAAATATATTTGTAAATGTACCTTGTTTCGCGACGATTACACTCGATACGGCTTCGGGTACGCTCGTGCCTGCCGCAAGAAAAGTGATGCCCATTACAGAATCTGGAATCTTCAGCGTGTCTCCTGAAAAAAAAAAACAATATATTTACATCATATAAAATTTGAAACCAAAGATTTTACACGATAAAATTAATTCTTCTCTTTTATCCTTAATTTATTTATTCCTCAATTTAAAGCGAGAGGCCAAAGCTAAATCATAACATCTTTTTTAAAAAGAAACTTTAATTTGGAATTGATGAAATAAAATTTTATTGAATGTAATTTTTTGCATAACATTTCGATGATACACTTGCTTGTAGGTATATTTGTGTAAACATTAAATATATTAAACTAAATATCACTCACCAATTATAGTGATCATCCACGCTACCACGTAGCTGAGAGATCCAATCCATATGATGCACATCACGAATGTGACGGGGAACCAATTTTTGAATCGTGGTTTCTCGCAATCGGGGATTGTGCACATGAATACCAGATGGATGGGCCATGTTGTGACCCAAGCGGTTTTTCTTAACCATCCAGCATGCGCTGGCCATACCAAGAGCTCGTACTCATAATCTATTATATAACATTACGAGAATTTTAAATTCGACAGATATATTGCCTTATTTGTGTTTCTTATGAGAGTCCCAAGTGATTGAACCTTGTAAAATTACATAACATAAAATGTGTCAATCAGTCATCTTATCAGTGGAATTTACCAAACTTGAATATTCGATCTCTGAATTCGATGACTGTTAACTTTTAGGAAATTTCCATTTACAAGTGCTTAATTGCACTTGACCGATCAAGTGGCTCTTTCATGAAATATATTACGCATTGCTTCACCATTCGTGAATACTGTCGTTACGTTCATAAACGTACAAATCGATACAATTGATAATCGTAGAAATCGATTTGATTAGATTAAAGAGAATAAATATTTGTTTATCACAAATAGTAGTGACTTCTACGCAACAAATATCTTGCTATCTAAAGAGTAATCTATAAATGTGTGCTATGTTAGTAATATCTTTAAAAGATTTAAAAGGAATCAAATAAACTTACCAGGATCTGGATTCTCCTCTTGCGTTTTCGTCCCGCCATTTTGTAACGGCACGTCGATAGTGGCTATCTGTTCCACACGATCGCCGGGCGATTGTAGCTTGTCCGGTCTTGGTAAGTGAACGTCGCTAGAATCTGTGAAAAGTATACATCATTTTTACGCATTTTTACGCTATATTTTATGCAAAACTCTCAAAATATGTCAAATGTGTATAATTTATATTCTTCTAAATTATATTATTATTAAAAAAGTTAATTAATGAATTAAAATGTTTAAACATAATTGAAAGTACTGAAGATCTTATTAATAAAAAAAAAAACACACACACACACACACACACACACACACACAAAGTGTTGCAAATATCTTATCGATTCGAGAAAGGCTATTTTAAACAAGTCATAAGCTTTCGCACCTAAAATAATTATTTATTAAACAAAATCCCAAGAGACCGATATCATAGCTTCACCTGTCGTAACGCGTCGGCTGTCCGAGGATATCTGATCCTCGCTTGTACGGAACCTCGTACACCGCTGGAACGATTTATCCCAGTACATCACGGCAATATAAACAATGTACAATAGCACCAACGTTAATGCTTCGTACCATTCCACTCGCTCGTCGTGTATAATGCATATCAAAATTGCGACTGTGACACCATAAGCAAGACAATCTCTACTAACAGGCCACCAATCCAGAGGCACCACCTGTATACGAGAAGAGATTATTGTTATACATCACATTACAACATAAATGTTTAATGTTGAATATTCTCGAAAATCCAAGGGGGTATTCTCTTTAACATCTCGCAGTTATCACATTTTGGACAGATCCTATTGAATTTTCCTTTAAGAATGTAGATAATAATCACGCCATCAATTATGTAATATGAATGTCTAATGGATATTCTCATATCTAACGGATTTTTTTTTTAATTAATTTTAAATTAAAAATATCCATTAACATAAATTTCATATGAACAAAGAGCATAAACAAAGATTATTTATTCCTGAATTTTATATTTTTATTTCGTAATATTTTATTATAAATTTTATGCGTGTTTATAATAACATATGCAAATATCGGGCATTTTTTATTTTCGATAATGTACGTCTTTTATTTCGATAACATATCACGCTATGATGCATTTTTGACAGTTGTTTGACGCACATCGATATCAGTTCTTAATCTCTCGTTATCGATATCATTTGATACGATTTGATATTGTATTTGTTTGATAAGATGTCTGTATGCTGTCTCTTACTCTTAATTATTTAAGTAAGAAGAAAATTGCTAACGCTGTAAAATGCATGAATGCCAACATCTCTACAAAAAACATAGAAAAATAGATTTGTCATTTTCAAATTTAATATATTCCACTATTACGCACATCACATATGTATAGCGTATGAATTTCTCGTGAAAAACTATTAGTGTTACATATATGTAACATAAAATTGCTATTTAATATATATTGCTTATATGTATATTTTTCGAATTTGGCCGTAGCGAACATATTAATTACGTAATCATAGATATCGCGTAGATATCAATTGTTTAACATTGAAAGATATAATAAAACATAAAGGTATACAGAAGATATTTATTTACACATAAAAATTATTTTAACAATATATGTATCTATTAAACTTGCATTTATTTTTAAAAAGTATTCTATTTATTTTAAAAATGTCACTGTACGTGCAGTATTATGAATTTTTTGAAACATAAGTAAATTTCTTGTAATTTCTTTCTTATGCCTTTCTTACTTCGCGTCCGTTAGATTTCCGAAAACTATAGGACACTCTTGGCAACCTACCATTCCCGCACCGATGCCGCAGCATGCTGGAACAGCTAGGATGTTGAATACTGCGGAACCTACTATCGTCCCGACACCAATGTCACCTTCCGTGATGAATGTTCCGATGGCATTCACGAATAATTCTGGGGCCGATGTCGCCGCCGCCAT